CGCATCGCCGCCGCCGCCATTTACACAGAGACTGCGTGCTCGTGCGATGCCAGACATAGGTAAGAACAGTTTATATGCCGAACTATGCTATGAAGACATAAAGATCATAGTTAGAAAGTGTCAGTGTAGTTATTTGTCGCTCAAAATGCAATTATACTCCCACAAGTATATAATCCGGTCAACATAATGAAACTAATTTATTTGAGCCCGCTAGCACCCTCATTTTATACTATTTTCTACAATCATGTAAGTTTTATATATTTTCTGACGGAAGCAATCGATAACAGCGCCTCTCAATGGGCTAGACATCCTTGTTTGACTATTGGTGGAAAATTTGTCGTCTATAACTTGAGATCCCAAGTAAAAAACCCTTTAGTTTGTTAGTTTTCCGGATTGTAAACTTAATCTTCTGACAGTTTTATAAACAAATATTGGTAGAAATAAAGATGCAAATAATATTTACAAATCGCAAACATATATTTCAATAATGCACTTCCATTGAAACAATTTCAACTTTGTTTAACATTAATTATAACATAAATTTTATAACAAACAATCTATTTCCTCTTACTTATGACTCGAAGCGAAACGTACATAAAATTGTTTCTTAACATACATTTAATTTGAGAATTTAAGCTAACTGGTATAAAAAGTATTTTATAATAAAATGTTAAATGTTTAAACATTTTATTTTAAAATTTTTGCGTGTGTGTAAAATATGTATTTTTATTCCAGGCCGAAGAGTCGTTTGCGTCGTGCGTCCGCCAATCTGCCGCTGCTGCAGGCGGAGTCCCCCCCCTGCCGGCAGCCCTTCCCCCTCGCCGTGCACGACCTCCGCCTCAACACCATCAAGAGGAAACTTGTCGCATAATAATATCGAAATATCTCATATTGCTGTCTTTAACGGAACGAAAGAGATAGTCATATTTTGGTTGCACAAGTCACCAAAGCATTGTATTTAAACTATACAAGACTGAACGATTTACCGACAAGATAGTACAAAATACATATATAAAAGGTTTCTTTTATCTTAAATTTGTAATATTACATTTAGCAAGCAAATGCATTTCGATATAAGCAAACGTTATTTTCATAGGGAAATTAGCACTGGATTTTTCTAATTTTTAGATTTATTTATTTTAGAATAAACTATTTTTATTATGTTGTTTATTTTATATATTTGAACATTTTTTCAATGTATACATGGCAAGAATTACCTAATACATTGTGAAAACTTTGAAATGTAAAGCCCGCTAAGAACGTTCATTATAATTGAACAGTTGGACTGTTCAATGCGATTGTAGACAATCCAAGTCAGTTGAACTGTACAGTTCAAGTTTTGCCTACACACAATTTGACTGTTCAGTTACAACTGACGGCGTGTAGCGGGCTTTATACTTAAATTAAAAGAAATCTTATAAATTGAGCTTAAAAGTAACGAAAATATTTACCTAAGTTGTTTTTATGGGATTTTTTAATGCTTATAACATGTTTGCATTAAAATCGTCCATTTTATGATTTCTATCAACAAATTGTCTTGTATTCCGTAATACAGAATATATTGTAGTTATAATTAATATTAGTTTTAATAATTAAATATAAATTATTTAGGAATATCTCGTGAATAAATTGATAGTGACTATGTTGCCATTGTAAATGAATGTAGGGTAGTTTGAGAAAACTTACATCTAACACTTATATTTTTATATAAAATACTCTACCTAATAAGCAAATTTTTAAAGTACTATATTACAAAACAAGACTGTATTTTATTTAACAACCCTCGTTATCGTGAAATTCACTCTTATAAGCAAAATACATATCGACATGACTGCTTCCTAATGTTATATGAAAAGATTGTCAAAAGTTAAAATTTTGTTTAAGAATCACAAATTCTAAGGTTTTAATACCTTTAACAGTCATTAACTACAGGAACACGGATCTTTAAATTCATGTAAAATGGCATTTAACAACGTATACGTAAAATAAATCAACAATATTCGTATAAATACAACAAACGTTTATTATTCACGTTACAGAGCCATCGATGGTAGGACTTAACTGATTAAAGGTCCTCGCACTTTTAACACGCTTCAGTTTATCTAATGTAAAGTTACACATTTAATATTATCGCTTATTACAGTGGGCAGTGACCTTAACAAGCACGCGTGAACACCGCGCGTACCGAATGGGTCTTAGTCTGTTCACAGATCAGAACAGCAGAGCAGACTTTTTTTTATTTCAAATGGCTTAACACGATAGAAATAAGGTTTTATTTTACTTTATTAAGAGCAACAGACGTGAAAAATAAAATAAAACCCTGTTTCTATCGCATGACCTAAGATCCGCACCCGCGTTTTTTTAACGCTTACGCTTATAGGAACGCTTTAAAATCGCTCTTGTTTGCATTTAAAATACAAAACTGTTCCATAAAAAAAACGTCGAATTTAAAAATGCTAAGATATAAGTAGAAATAAATTGGTTCTGTTTGAACGTTTTTTACGCGCGTTAAAAAACCGAATTATAGCGTTCTATTTGCGATAAAAAAATCTGTTCTGCTCTTCCGGTCTGTAACTTAATAAGCGATAACATTATTCGTATACCTCCGCACACTAGATTTAATCTGCCTATATGTAATGTATGGAGGTGCGACACCGATTTTGTTTGAACTTTCGGATCTTATGTAGTGTTTAGAGCATTCCGAATCCCTTTGAGTATGAGATGGCCTTCATAAGTCTGTCGCGCAGCTTGTCCCGCGAGCGGTACTCGGGCAGCAGCAGCACGTTGAAGCAGGTGTGCGCGGTCGGCAGCCGGTCGGAGTCGGGCCCGTTGCGAGCTATCACCAGCTTGAGGTAGCTGAGCCCGCCTACCGGCACGCGGTCGGAGCCGGTCGTGAACTGCAGCAGCTTCCGCTTCTCTGTGATGCACAGCTTGTGCACGATGCACCAGAAGTCTTTTATAATACGTGAATCCGATGTGTACCCGCCGTCGTACTCGGTTGACTTCTCCAACTCGTTGAAGTCGAAATTCTGTAACATCAGAATTACTTTAAAACGTCGCGTCTTGAGAGTAACTCAAAAAATGTAATTTAAGATGAACATTATCTATTAAAATTTTAAATACATAAATTTATGAACGGGCAAAGAAAGGAGAGTTAAAATAAGGGCTCCATTCGCACGGACGTTTTTATAACGCGCGTTAAAATACGCTTATATAGACCAAATGCAATTCCATGTATTATATTGTATATATTTCATACGGTAAAGCTTTTAAAGCGCAACGCTTTTTATAACAGTGTTGCAATTTGAGCAATGGGCAAGGAAACAAGTCTTATTTTAAAGCGCTTATGAAAGACAGCGTTAAAAATCTTCCGTGAGAAAGAGGTCCAAGTATTCCCTAAGTCAGGGTACAGTGAGAGTGAGACCTTGCTGCCGCAGACGAGGGTCTCGATCTCCTCGGGGCGGAAGAGCGCGCTGAGCGGGCTCTCGTCCGTCACCATGACGAAGCCGCGCCGGAACGCGCGGAACTGCGTCTCCACAGACTTGTTCAGCAGGAAGTCCGCGTACATGTCCACAAACTCCTGAAATGTAACATATTCATATTATACACTCTATTTTGTATAAATTATTGCACCGCTAACACTAAAAAATTTTAAAAGTACGATGTTAGTCGAAATGAATGTAAGAACAAATATTGAATAGTAGAAATATCCAAAATAAAAGGAAATACAATATTCCTTACACTAATTTCCGCACTCACAGTCATTAATCGGTCTCTGAATACCGCTTAGTGTTAATTATTCATACTTAATCGACGCAAAGGTTCCCCTTAACTATGCTACAGCAATCAATACTTTCAACATACATGCCAGTAAAATGGGTTAGTAGCTAGCAAGCCAGTTACTGGCACAAAGCGTATATAAATTGGAATAAAAGGTTTATTTGGCCGTCATATCAACCATACATGATTTATATCGAGTTAACCAATAGCGTATAGTTAAATTAAAAAAAGCTTACCCTTTTATTGGCTTGCGTAACAAAGAGACTGTCCCCTTCGTCTTTGAGATCATGGAATATATTATTTCCGAAGACATCTTTGTAGCATATCCTGAAAGTCTGGTAGTACACTTCCTCTAAATCATCGCCGCTATAATCTAACATATCTTTTAAACCGTTATACAAACTCTGAAACAAACAATAATATTGACATTAATTTTTCATTAGTCTATATTAATATTATAAAGAGGAAAGTTTTGTATTTTTCTATTTCAATAACTCAAAAACTACTGGGTCGATTTTAAAAATTTCTTCATCGTTAGAAAGGTAAAATATCTGTGAGTAACATAGGCTGTTTTTTTTTTTTAATTTCACAGGAGCGAAATCGCGGGCCACTGCTAATTACTAATAATTTTATGTTAACTATTTAGTAAAAATCACTCAACGTCTACAATGGCTGTTTTTCGACAAAACAACTAATTTGTCATGCGTTGATATTTTTTATTTCAGTATAGTCGAACAAGGATATGAGACCTGGTGAAAGAGATGCGGTCCTCTCAAAAATTGAGTAAAAGCTGCAGAGAGATAGAAAATGGCATAATAAATCACAGCTACACTACAAAACTTGTGCCCTTGGCCTAATAAATGAGTTTGGGTATAAAATAGTATATTGTAATACTGACAGGGTTCCAGTCGGCGAGGTCCTCGAATGCGCCCTTCCTGCCCATCAGCTTGCGGTACACCACCATGGGGAAGTTGACCGCCAGGATGATGTTGTTGTATATCGCCAGCCCCAGCACGATGCCGATCAAAGTGAACTGCGCCTCCGTCTCGAACGACGTCGGGTTGAACCTATAATTACATTTCTTAATTAATGAACAGAAAAATTAAATGAGATAGTCGAAATTGTTTAAAGATCCAAAGGAAACTTTAAAACTGACCTGTTCTACCGAAATACTATACTGTTTTACCGACTTCTACTAAACTGTTTTACCGACTTATGCTAAGCTGTTTTACCGACTTATACTAAACTATTTGACCGACTTAGGATAAACTGTTTTACTGACTTGAAATTAACTCCTTTATCGGTTGACATTAAACAGTATGTTTTTGTATACATACCAAACAGTATGCGAGTCCGGTTGCTGCGTGAACATGCCGTAGTCGGGGTTGAATATCTCTTCGACGATGAGCTGGAAGAACTCCTTGCTGACACCTCCCTCGTCCACACCCTGCTCACCCTCGAACTCCACCATCAGCTGCTTCTTTAGATCCAGCGCTCGCTCCATCGCTATCATTTCCAGCTGGAAACATATCACTTTATATAAATACTAACTTTTTTCCATGACTCTCCGTCGTGCGCAATTAAAAAAAAATAGCCTATATAAAAACATGGAAAACCATATTACATTTGTGACAAATTTCAACGAAATACGTTGAGTATGTTTTAAAGACACTATGAAACTTTTGCATTTATACCATTAGTAAGAAATAGCATTACAAAATGGGCAAAAAGCTGTCGCGCAGACCCTACGGGACTAGGACAAGGGGGAAGATGACCATTATGTTTGTGGTACGTCATAGGTACCTCGACGAGCGCGTCCGCGATGATGTGTGAGCGGCGCACGCGCAGGCGCAGGAAGGGCATGGGCGGCGCGGCGCCCACCACCGCGTGCAGCAGCGACACGCGCCGCTCCGAGTACATGCGGATACGGTTCTCGTAGTACAGGCCCAGGGACTTCGTCGCAGCCGTCAATATGAACGGGTAGTTCAGGAACGCGAACTTTGTTGCTGAGACAATATTTCATATTAATATTAATCTATACTATTGTAATATAGCGTAAACACACTACTTTGTGGCGTAGGATGTTAGCAATCACAGTGTATTTCTGAATAGTTCTTAGTTTAGTAAAAAGCCCTACACTTACAAAACGCTTTGGACTATATATTTTCACACTATTGCACTTAGGGGGTAAATAAATTGAAAAAACCTTCATGTGGGAAAGAGACTATAAACTACCCAACATTAAGGAAGCAAGGTTATTATAACGTTAAAAAAAAATAAGTTTTTATAATTTCATGTGAATGAAGCCGCATGGGTACAGCGAAGGGGTTTTGTAGGCGTATTGTGAGGAGACAGTTCAATGTAATCTCAAAATAATAGAAACAATAGCTTTTATCTTTCTTGAAAATTGGTTTATGTGGCTACTAAGGGAGTATTTTACTGTACGTCGGCAAAATGCGGCTCTAACTTAAACTTTTCAAGGAGATGCAAGCATTTGTTCACGTCAATCATTATGAAATTTGGTTTTGTTCAGTATCATACTTATGTAGTGTAATAAAAGTTTATACCATACAAACAGATTTCGCTCTTTTTTTTTATTCGTTATTGTAATGTTCATATTAGGCTTTCTAACTTATTACCCACTGACTTTGCCGACCACTGGTCTAAGATACGAAATTTACTCTAAGCCTCTCACCGCTATTAACATCAGTTTTATAGCTGGCGAAGTCAATGTCCATCTCGATATTGTCGCTGAGGGGCTCGTTGTAGAACTCCTCGTACGGCAGGTACGGCTTCCTCACGTCTAACGAGTTTATTTTCAGGTAAGCCGCTGAAACATTACAAATATTATATTTTTTTAACTTTTATATTCTTAAATTTTAAAAAAAAGTTTGTTGGAAATTTCGACTGATTAAAAATTTTATTAAATGGTCACTTTACAGAAAGTAAATACCAATATTAAAAAGTGGAAATATTTGTATTTTTGTATGCAATGAAATAACTCAAAAACTAGTGGGCCGAGTTGAAAAAGCTACGTCATCAGTGAGTAACAGACTTTGGACGGTGGCGAAGTCGTGAGCAAGAGGTGAGTTTTGTCGAGAAGTACAGGTAGTGTACCCAGGGGGTCCTCGGGCAGCGCGTGCTTGGAGGTCTTGATGGCGGAGAGCGGCAGCAGGTCGTGCAGCGCGTCGCCCAGCGGGTCCAGCTGGCTGGCGATCACCACCGGCTCCTCCGGCTGCGGGTTCTGCTGCACCTCGCCCGCCGCCATGTTCGCGTAGTACACTATCTGTTCAACACACACATATATTTATAATATTACTAACTTTCGCCCGCGACTACGTCTGCGTGGAAATAAAAAAAACAAAAGTGAGTAGCCTATGTCTTCTTTCAAACTATCTTGTACATCTATACCTAATTTCATGGATGCCGTTCAAATTCCGTCGAAATAATTAGACTCTGAAACTAATGAACAGATTAAAAAAAAATACGCCATTAAACTACATTATCAATGAGTAACAAAAAATATAAAATCAAGCAGAAAATATAGGATACGTATATTCTTAGCCACACAGGCGAAACTGGGGCAGATCGATAGTTTCAAATATTTAAATTGTATTATTGAAGTTACACTGTATATAATAAAAATTGTCACCTTCATAAGCTTAGTAGCTTTTGTAACACATTCATCATCCTGCACTTGGTAGATTCTGGAGTAGTTAGTGGAGACCACCCTGAGGGTGATGAGCTGCTGCAGCGCCTCCAGGATGTGGCGCAAGCTCTCCTTGCAGTACTCAGACCAGAGACGTGCGAGTCGAGCATGTGCTGAAATAATGAAAAGGTCAATACTCATTTGGCATAAAATCTAGGGCAGTTAAAAAATGACTACAGATAGATCAAAAAGCGAATTTATCGAAATTAAGTAACATGTGTATTGAACACAAGGATTATAAATTGACTCTTATATGACGCATAGATTTAATGTGCGATGACCTTAAATTTTTAGTGTTGTCTAATTTTTAAAGAAAAATGTAACAGAATGATTTGGTTAAGAATTTCACAACTCTAACACCTTTTGGTTTTAAAAGAAATGAATTATTATAAAAGATGAATCACTACAAACATTGAAATTCTGCTAAAAAATATAATTGCCCGAAATAATATAAATACCTTTGAGTGGTAAATATTCAATAGCATGGCAAAGTGTGGGTAGGGCCACCTCCAGGTAATCACTGCAGCCGATATCTGGTATCTCAAAAGCTATTACTAAGCAAGTCACAACATCCTCCATTGAAAACTTCTTACTGATCTCTAAATCTATCTTCAGATGTAAAGCTAACGTTTCCAATGCAGAAACTAGCATTGAATTGTAATATTTTGATGGCACCTGTAACATGTAAATTCACATAATATGCTTCTGCCACAATTTTCAAAGCAGTTGACTATGATTTTTTTTTTAAATTACAAAAGATATAATTTTTATGTCTTTAAACTTGAATACTTGAAAGTGATTCAAAAATATTTAAGTATGTCAATACGTCAATATTATACCGTGACTAGAGGTGTGGATTTTTGACACATGACTATAGAAACATTATTATCTTGATTGACCAATCTTACTAATATCATAAATGCGAAAGTTTAGATGGATGGATGTTTTTTAGAATTTGTTGCCTAAGCTGCTGAACGGATCTTGATGAAATTTGGCATAGATGTAGAAAATAGTCTGGAAGTACACATAGGCTACTTACATTTGCTTTTTTAAATCCACGCGGGCGAAGTCGCGGGCAAAAGCTAGCAAATAATAAAGTATGTACACCAAAAACAGTGTTTATGGTGATGCAACATCCATATGAATCAGCAATTTTGTGGCGCAGAAAGTGAACATTAATAAACTTACTTTGGCAAGATATCGGAATGCTCTATGACACGAGGCCGCATCAAACTCAGGTCCTATCACACAGTCTATATCTTTGTCTGGATCACTTGATGAACACATTGCTTTTGATTCTTTATCTAAAAAACATTTAAATGTTAACTCTTACTCCAAACCCCAATAGCCTACTGGTTTGGGGTCCGGACTACCGATCTTGCGGTCGAGGGTTTGAATCCCGCCATTCGACTATTGTGAACAATATCATAACACAAGCCTCAAGGGCTTAATTGGAATGGTTAAAGGAATCATTAGTAAATTAACAAAAATCTATTAATTTTTTCATAAAAAATTGATATAGACGCCACATTTTAAATGGATGGATGGACGGACATTTGTTAGAGTATCACCAGATCAGTTAAACAGATATAGATAAAATTTGTTACAAATGTAGAAGATGGCTACTTACTATCTTTTTTTTAATTCTGCGCAGACTGAATCGCGTGCGACAATTATAACATGAAATTTTTTACACTATTATGTAGTCTTTCATTACATACCTTT